TTCTTTAAAGTTTCGTGTCATATTGGTTTCGATTGTACGTGAAATTTATATCGAATTAAATAATCGTAATCTTTAATTAATTTACTCGGAATTGATAAAATTTTGTTCGATGTTAATTTCTTTTAGTATCTTGAAAGATTTTATATTACTTTTGATATTAAAATAATTTTGAAACGACGTTATTTATGGAATAAGCTAATATTATTATATTAAAATTTGTGTTTAATTTGATTATAATTATATCATTATAGTATAAAATATAACAGAGGATGTACAATAATGATATACATATAATAATATACAATAATAATAATAATACAATAATTCAATTTCAATCGATTTCATCAATTGAGAAGAATATTCGATAGAAAATTTCTTAACAATTTTTTAATAATTTCTATCACGATTCTCAATTAATTTAACATTCGAACAAAACTTCGAACCCAAAACTATTGCTATTTCTATCTATCTATCTATCTATCATTCACAAATCATTGAATTATTCATTCATATTTCCACCTGCTTTACTTTCCCTAAATCCAAGATCCTCTCGTTCGCCAATCTTAATTTTTTTCGTACACGGTCCATTGGCGGCATTGACATTATCGAAACCTTTCATGCACGAAGGGAAATTTATTTTATCGAGGGGGGGGGGAGGGTCAAAGAACGGTTGGCCAATAGGGTGTCACGTGGAAATGTCACGGACAGGCTAAATGTGTATCTAAAAGTGCACGAACAAGGGTAAAAAGAGAAAGAAAGGGTAGGTTGAGAGAAGAGAAAACGATGTTCCCCGGTGATTTGTGGAAAACAAATAATTGTCACCGGTGCCAATCACAGGCCTCGTTGGTCGAATCTTCGAGGGACGGCCACTGTCTCAGGGTTGCTTCTTGATGAAAATCTGTCGATTTATTCCCCGTCGTCCCTTGTTCCCCACGGCTGTCTCGCGCCAGGCTTATATTTAAACGAATAGAGGTTTATCTCCTGGCTTGGCTTCCTTTCTTTTCACCACTTGGAAATGCGGATTCCTGATCCCTTTTACGAGAGGGAAAATTTAAAATTGAATCGTCCCATCTCTTTTGAATTAAACGCGACACCGAAAATAATACTGGAAATTAAATCTGGAAAAAATAACTTCCCAACTTTCGTTTATCTCGAAAATTTTCCATTCCCCTCCCCCCTCAAACATAATATACCCATTTCCATTCCCGCGCACTTACATTCACAAAAATTTAAATTCAATATGAATAATTTAATCAAAAAAATCGCTCGACTCTTCAACGATTAATCGCATCAAAAGATTTAAACGCAAGATTCAAAGATAAATTTTCCGACAAGATATCGATACAAAATAAACGATGATTTCTCTTCTCCCGAAAGATCAATCCCTCTATCGAATCTTGCTGCTCCTTCCCGAGGCCAGAATCGAGGAAAACTCGATTCGTTAGTTAAAAGTCCTTGTTGCACGCGCAACTTTTAAACGGAAGCGGAAACACCGAGCGAAGTTCCGCCTCCGGCTCTCTCTCTCTCTCTCTCTCTCTCTCTCTCTCTCTCTCTCTCTCTCTCTCTTCCCCTATCCGTATTTGTCTCCGGTTATATTACCGCGCCACCAAGCGAAGGATTCGAGGAGAGGAGCAGCAGACGTAATCATCGAACTTCCGAAACTAAAGGACGATCGTTACTCCTCTCGGTTGGACCGAGAAGGAGGACCGTTGCACAACCGTCGGGTCCTGTTGTTCCATCCTCTTCCGCCCGCTTCTTATCAGCGGTCGCAGACATTAAGACGAAGAAAGGAAGAAAGGATGGAAGGGGGAGAGGGGGCACTTGAAAAGGCGGTCGCGGCCTCGACAAAGGACGACTTTCGCGGTCGCCGATAATTGGACGGTTGGGATGGAAAGAGAAGGAGGGAAGGGAAGAGAGAGAGAGAGAGAGGAGGAGGAGGAAAAGAGAGGAAAAAAAATTAAAATAGTCGAGACGACAGGAAGCGGCGGTGTAGATGATATTCTCTCTCTCTTTCTCTCCCTCTTCCCTGTCGGTTGCTCGGCCACCCCTTAGCGCACCCTTCCCCCTCCTACGTTCCATTCTCTCTTTCTCTTTCTCTCTTATTTACCTATCTCTTTCTCGCGCGCGCGCCAGTTTCGCGCTTATTATCCGAAAGTTCCAAAGTGAAACAGAGTGAAACTCTGTCGGGTGTTGAGAGAACTTTTAACAACGCCACGAAGGCACGAATTCGTGGATGTCTCTTGTGTCACGCTATTGCCACGGGGGATGGAACGTGACGGGGGAGGGGAGGAGGGGGAAAGATTTTGACGGGGGAAAGGAACGGGGTTGTGTGTTGTGAACGGGGGAAAGAAAAGTCGGGAAGAAAGGAGGGGGGGAAATAATGACTGAACGTAAAACGTGTGGAAAGGTGAAGGGGGGAAGTTGTACGTCGGAGGTTGTGATTCGAGTGACGTCGACAAATTGATCATTTTGATTGGAATTCATTGTTGGATCTCTTATGGAAGTTATTTTTACATTTTTTTTTTTTTTTAATTAATCTTAATCTTTGTTATATATTGCTCTCAGTTATAGTATACTTTTGAATATTTCTTTTTTTCTTTTTTTGGGGGGAACTTGATGTTATCGATTTTAATATGTTTCTTTTTAATATATTTAAAGATTTTTAAATATAATTTCGTGACTATAAGTTTTTATCCTCGAGTGTCTTTCCATTTACTGACAAAGGTCTTTTAAATTTTGTTATCGTGCAGGCATTAATTTTAATAACGAAAATAAATAGAATTGTTGTTGTCAATTTTCCTGAGTTTTTTTTTTTTTTTTTACATCGGTACATTTTTTATGTATCGATTGTTAGATAAATATTTTTGAAATCTTTTATAGAAGCGCTATTAGTACAGCACCATATATTGAAAAAAAAAAAAAAAAAGGAAAATGTCACAATATTTATCGTAAAAATATTTTCCAAGCTTTGACTTGATATTGTTACATAAATTAAAACGGCATAGAAATAAATCCAATACGTGGTATTTTATACGAAACAAGGGAACGCGCTTTAGGCAGTTGGCCGGGAACCGATGAAATAGAAATTTATAACGGTAGGGAAAAAAGGAGAGAAAAGAGGAATGGTGGAAATCTGAAAACTCTTGGTGAAACGCGAAGTTTAAATAAATGTAAAGGGAAAAACAAAAGGAGAACCCTTGCGCAGGGGCTGGAAACTGGTAAAAAGGATGGAAAAATATACTCTAACAACTTGGTTGAAAACAAAGAACAAATGATAAAAGCTTCACGGGCGAGAGAAACTTCCTACTTAATAATAATAACGTCATTAGTTAAACGGGCAAAAGTTTTTTTTTTTTTTTTTTTTCTAATCGACGCACCAATGAATTGAAACAACAATACTTTCACCGTCACACAATAAATTTAATAGTTTAAGAAGGAAATCCAGCAATTAAATCGTTCCTCGTCCCGTTCGAAACGCGTTCGAAAACGAATTTCAGGATCTCGACGACAAAAACGGGATAAAACTCCAAGGTGTAAACAAACGGATGGAACGAAGAAACGCGTTAAACGGGGAAAGAAGAAAACGCGTTTCTCGAGAATAAAAAGGGAAAAATGAATGGAGGGAGGGAGGGAGGAAAAAGATGAAAACGAAGGGAGAGGAGAGGAGAAACTGGCAAGGAAAGGAGAAAGAGAGAATTCAGAGAAGAAGGAAGAGGAGACTGGAGAAGGAGAGGGGGTATAGCGAAAGAAGAGGAAGTTTTATTTCAACGAAAGCTTGGCGGAGGGGTGAAAGCGGCAAGGACAGACGGAGGAAATACATAGCCGGATAAATACGAGGGGTTGCGATTCCTCTTTTCTGCTCCTCTTGTTTCCACTCTGATCTCCCCCTCTCTCCCTCTCTCTCCTTCTTTCGCTCGAAAACTCATCCCTTTCCGCTTCTATCGTATCCGAAGTGGCTTGTCGAGCGGCGACAATGTCGCATCGATTTTATCAAAAGTCCAAACACATCCGATTAAATTCAGTTAGGTGGACGTGTAGACGGACGCCTTTTGAATCTTTATCGAGGTTGGATATATATGTATATGTATATATATATACGTGAATACATGTAGAGGGGATGTATTCCTTAGCGGCTGAAATGGATGTCTGGAAATGGTTGGAATTTCGGCGAATTAGCGATCTCGAAGACAAGCGTTCTCGAGTCGAGTTTTATTAGAAATTCGACGACGAGAGCAGTTCCACGAGAGCCTTTTAATCGAAACGATAGTATTCGTGAAAGCAGCTTGCGTGCAAACACGTTCCGCCGTGCTGTTGCGTTTAAATTTGTTGATTAAATGTATACGTTAGAATTTGTTGTTCGAGAAAACCGTTTAATCCTTTCGTGCACGGGATAATAAAAACGAAAAGAAAAATTTAAGAGGGATTTTAATTTTAAATATGTTTTCGATCGAGTATTCGTCCAATTTTGTTGAAACGAATCGATCTCTTGAGAAATTTTGTATCTCGCGTATTATAGATATTTTTAATTTCGAAGCTACTACTTCTTAGTAGTTTCCCTTCGAAAGATTTTCTATTATTTGATACCTCGGAAGCTTCAATCTTCAAAGCTTCTTTCCACTTTCTTCTCTCTTTTCGAAAAATTTCTCTATACCGAGTCATCGTTCGAAGTTCCCACTTTTTATTTCTTAACCGTTTCTCTTCCGAATTTCCCTCCTATAGCACAAATTTTTGCAGCTGAATTATCATAATTAAAATTTCCCGGTCGAAAAGAAATTTCATTAGATATATCTTCTTTCCAGTTTTCTGGAAATTATCAAATAAAATTGTCCTTCTAAAAATGTAATCGTTGTTCAAACTTCAAACTTCAAAACAACGAACTCTGGTTTCGAAGTCGTTCCCAAAACCGTTATTTCGGGTTATTTAGGTATTCAACTGGCGATGTTGAACAATTATTCACTTCGCGGTGGATGGTGACACTCAGTATCCAACTTTATTTTCAGTTACTACGCGTCCACCGCTTTTCCACCCCGTTTGGCGCCACCATTGAAGAGACCCCGGCTGATGCCACCGGCTCGATCCCAACATCCTAAACAACAGAAGCAACAACCCGCCACGAACACGGCAACTGTACCCGATCTGAATCAACTTAAAGTGTATAGTAAGTATGGTCGACTATTTTTTTGTTTCTTTTTATATACACACAGGTTTTTTAATTCATTGGAGAATTGCTAAATTCTTTAAATTTACACACAGGCTGTCGATATGTCCGCGTCAATTGGTAATTGAAATATATTGGAATGTTGATTCTAGAGATCGAATGTAAAAAAATTTTTTTTCTTTTTTTAATTATATCGTTATATCGTAAATATTTAATATCTTTTGTCGAAACGATTCTCTTTTTTTTTTTTTTTTTTTTAATATATATATATATATAATATTTCAAATAATTAAAATATAAAAGCACACATTCCGTGGTAATATTTTAAACATTAATTCGAGGATAATTATGTTCGAAACTTAATTCACGTTTCAAACGTGTCTAACAAGTTTTACTTTTCACCGTGGCTAATCGCATCAGCTAGCTATTCAATTTCAAACAGCAAAGGAAGAAAGAAATTATCCTTCATTATTCTCCTTAATAAAACGAGAAGCGGAGATATATACTTCAATATTCCCGGTCAAAAGTCGAATTAATTCTCAACTTCAAAGTGATCGGCGTACAATTATTCCGGAATAAGATTGTAAGACAAATTGGGAACGAAGAAATAATAATGGCACGAGACAAGATCTTTGAATTTGAATCAAACTAAATATATCGAATTTTGCATCGTCGAAAATTAAATTTTAAATTTCTTCCAAGTTATCTTATCTTTGTTCACTTGTTACACTTTTAAAAAAAAACGATCAAAGTCAAAAAAAGATCGACTCCTCCTCCTTCTGATAAAAATCTGATGAAAAACAATTCGCGATTAAACAAGAAAGATCGAACGTGAATGGAAACCAATTCGCAATTTCCACGTTGCAGGCAACCCGGATATCCTGATCTGCGGCAATTGCAGGGAGATGTTTACGGATCTGGGCGAGTTGCTCGAGCACAAGCGGAATTACTGCAAACTGCGGTTCACATGTAAATGTCACACCTTCAATGGAACAGCTCCAAGTACGTACTCGAAAGAAAGATCTACTCTCTTTCCCTCGTATACATATATATATATACATACAAAAACGGGTTAAAAACGATCGCTTTGGATGGTGCGAATTCCGCTACGTTCTCCATTTCTCTAAGATATTTCTTTAAGAAATTTTTCAATAAAAAGCACCTAGAGCTTTCATCGAAATTCGAGGGTGGAGCCGTTGTTTGGAAACACATACCAATCCCTCTATTTTCCTCTTCCCCCTCCCTCCCCTCCTATTCTTTCTCTAAGTTATCCTTATCGCGTTGATGTTGAATAGGCCGAAATGTAAAAATGAAATTCGAATCTTGGAATCCCCTTGGAGTCGATTTCCTTTTTCCATTGAAGCAACGGAATTGTATCCTTGAGTTTTATTCGCAGCCGCGTTCGGTTCAAAGGCTAATCCCGCTATTTGGTTAGATGGAAAGCGTCGTTGCTCGACAAATTTGCAAGGGATTTTCTTTACCCTCTGCTGATGCTTTGCAAAGTTGTTTCTTCCTGTTTTACGTGTATCGAGTGTACTTTGAGAAATATTGGGGGTAAAGAAAAGGTAATTGTGATGTAATGGATCGTGTGAATTATAGGAAGAAGAAGTTTTGTAAGGGAATAATTTTTCAATTTGACATTTGATATTTTGAGCAAGGTTTATATGGTTATATAGAATAGAGTGTAATAGTTTTGCAGGCAAAAAGCATAAGATCTTAAAAAAATCTTAGGATACTTGCAAAATTAAAAAAAAATATTAAATTTGGATAAAAATTGATGATTTTGATTTTCAAACTTTGAAATTATTTATTATTTATTTTTATCTTAAATAGCTAATAATAATATTTCATTTTCTAAATTAAAAGCTACTGTAATTAAGTCTTAAGACTTACATCTTATTATTATATTTTTAGATTTTTTTCTTTTTTTTATGTATGTATTTTTAAAAAGATTTAAAGCCACACACACACAAATATACATGCTAACTTTTGACAAACAACACATGTGTAAATTATTACCAAATATAATACTTTCATGTTTATGTTCCAAGGAGATTCTACAACAGCTCTGCTATGCGTTCTCTGCAAGGTATCGTTCCCTTCAGCATGGGAATTGATGGTTCACGCCCAGGCAGCTCACATGATCAACATTTACGAGTTGGGAACCCGACCCCAAAGCCCCAGATCCGCTCCCAGCCCCCCTCAGAGTCCAAGCCAACATCAGAAGGAATCATCACCGTCACCTCAAGATTTTCAGGTAAGTTTCTGACATATCACAGATAAATATATTTTATTTCTCCTTCACTTGATTTCATTCTTTCAAAGTAATATATTATTATTTGATAAATATATAATAATACTCAAGAAAATGTGTAATGACATTTTCTTCAAATGCAACTTGTTCATTAGTTAATTAATTAGAATTTATTGAGATTGCAAAATTAAAAGGAATGAAATAAATTTTTATAATATTCTGTATATTTGTATACTACTTCAAATTTAAAGTTATTTTTATTATCAAATTAAATTAACGTTCGAATTATTTATGATTCTTGATAATTCTTGAAAATTTTATCAACATATAAATCTTGTTAACATTCGATATATGATTTACATTTAATTTCGATATTTGTCAATCTAATATATTGAATGGTAAAAATAAAACTTGTACAGAAGGTAAATGCAATACCGAAATTGCGAGATACACTAGTCGTAAAAATTTCCTCCTCGTTTTCATCAACGAAAAATAGAAAATAAAGAAATCAAAAGGGAGGGAAAAAAAAAAAAAAACAGCGATATTCGAAGCACGGCCAATGGAAATTAAAAGAGGCGCACAACTGTTAACTGATACTTTATATGTAACGTGAAAATTAAATTCCCTAAAGGAAAAGTAATTTCACCCTGATGGATTTTCCTCTTTCGTTATTTTTGTTGGCCCGAAATGTGAAATAGCGAACGATGACTGCGCAATCTTATCAGAATGAACAAGCTTGGTTGGAGGGTTTGAAAAGAAAATACGACGTTCTCTATTCGCTCTAGCTTTAATTCCAGGAATATTTCTAGACTTATTTATAGCCGTCATAATCGCGCAAATTCACCCACCAATTGGAATTTTCATCCTTTATTCGCGTATAAGTGGAAATTTTTCGATAGTCTTTCTATTTTTTTCTTTTTTTTTTATTTATATATAAAAATACACATAGTGAAAAATCTCAGTGAGGTAAATACGATATTGAAAGGAGTTTCTCACTTTCTTTGAGAGGAATTCATTTAGTATTGCTCAATCGACTGAACGCGAAGAAAAATGATGGAGGGAATAATGGATTTACTTCGGTCGAAAATTGTGTCGATCGAGAAAGCTTTTAAAGTAGAATATCTTCAATGAAGAAATTAAGAAAATTGTTGAATTGTTTCCGATAATATTTTCCAAACGCGAGGAAAAATAAATAGAATTTAACTTGTGTCAGATTTGTATCAAATTCTATGGACGTGGTTTTTTTAAAATTAAATTAGAATATTTTGATAAAACTATAAAAAAAAAGAAAAAAAAATACAAATTTACGATAGAAATAATAAATTTCGTTAGAGTCGAGAATATTTGTCTTTCAAAACTCGATAAAGGAAATTTTTAAAATCAATTATTAAAATAAATTGAAACATCGTGGAAATAAATGAAAAATATTTTCAATGAATATCTTAAAAAATCGATCTTGAAAAAGATAAAATGTAATATAACTTGCTGGAAGAATTTCTGTGAGCTATGTAAAACTGAAACTCAAATACGTCGAACAGGAAGCAATAATAACAGTGGCAGTCAATTTAAACAATATAAGTTTTCTGCAGTAAAGGGTGGAAACACGGGAAATCGTAATATCGTGAGGAGGCAGGGCTCTCTGAGTGCTTAAGACAAGGCTATGAACCGGGGGAATGAAACTCTGTAACAAAAGAACGAAATCCTGTCGCCGTAGGGAACGACGTACAACTTGGAAAAATATTACTTCATCATATGTTTCTCTGTCGATATGTCAACTCCAGGGTGAAGGTATATCAGGATCGAGCTATCAGGCAATCGGAACTTTTGTTTCGGATTTCACCGTTCAAGAGTCTCATTATTTTCACTCTTGCTACTCGCCACTCTTATTAATTGCGTCGAATGTGTGATTCTTTTTGACTCTTAGTAAAAAGAACAATTTTTCTCTTCTCTCTTCTTTTTTTTTTTTCCCCTCTCGTTTTTCTATTAATTACAGAGAAGGGAGAGAAGGTTTCAATTTATTAAATCTCGATTATAAGCATTTTCTTTCATTCACTTTATTTAATTTACGTGTTTTGGTAAATTTCTGAAATTTAAATATTAAATTTCCATTTTGTAAATTTGAAACAAGATTGGATGTGTTTTTTTTTTTATTAATTTTTAACGTAATTTAAATGAGAGAAGACTGATAAAACTTAAATATATTATCACTGAAATTTCCATTTTGAATTGCTCTAATTTGAAATTTAGAATAAGATTGTAAATGGTACTTGAATCTCGATTATCTTGAATACGATCTTCCAATTAAACCGATCTAATTAAGTCCAATTATAATATAATGAAAGTTCAGAGAATGATATTTCAGAATGGTTAATTCAATTCGAAGATGAATTTTTGAGAACAATGTAATAACGATTAAAAAGATATTTGACAATAAGATTCCATGAACGTTCGTTAAAATTGATTTTAACTCGTTTTTATTTGATTTTATTATTATTTGATTCATTCCTATGATGCGAATGAAAAATCTCTCTCTATATCTAATAAATAATATCGTATATACATATATTAATTTCTACGATAATAATAAATAAGATAAATAGTACATATGATATTCTTCTAATATATGCAATAAACAATGCACTATTTATAATACAAGCAATGTGTAATAGCGCATCAGAGAGATATGAAGAGAATTAGATGAAAAAAATGAGAAAGTAATATATAGATTCCGCTTTGGTTAGCCAACTGGATAAAGTAAGTAGAGCTCGAGTACGATACGCGTTGGACTAGGAATATCGCTTTACTATGACAGAGTACAAAAGAAAAGTGGAACAGGTCAAGTCAGAGGGCTCAATTGATCACGTACTTTCGATTCTTAGGGATATTTTTATATGCGATATCCTTTGTATAAATTTATTCGCGCATTGCTCGATGTATCTTACAATTTTTTTTTTTTTTGGAAAATTTCGAGATATATTTTATGGAAATATTATTTTATTATTTTATTATTCGGTGATACGTGAATTTATATTTATAATATTAATATTTTTATTGCGCATTATTATTTGAGATGATCAAATATTTGGCAATATAAATTGTTTGAAAATTTATTTTATTGTATATACTGTTTATTATTATTATGTATTAATTAATGATTAAATTTATCATGAAATTTAAGTCAGTTTATTTTTCAATTGTTTCAACAGGAAACCAAAGCATCAGATTATGAGGAACGCGCGGAAGAAGAAGATCTGGATGGACACGAATTATTGCCCTCCCCTGACAGTGGTAAATCAACAGACAACGAGGCAGCTTTGTCACCGATTAAAATACGATCTGATGTAAATGGACTGGACCACGAAGAATGCGACGAGTTGATCCACGTTGAGAACACTACACAAGCTTGCATCATGCATGCCCTCAGCATTGTAAGTATTTTTACGTTTCATTTCATTTCCAATTCTCCAATATAAATTTATTGGAATTTAGTTACTTTTATCGCAAATTATTAAAATATTCTATATGAAATTCAATACAATTGAATTTGTAGAATTTTTATATAAATTTTTCTTTTTCTCTAAAATTTAAGACCCCTAAACTAATCAAGATTGTGGAGAAACAAGTTTTTGCAACAATATTTTTAACGTGTAAAAGGAAAAAGTGTCGAAAAGAATATTCTTCGGGATCAAAATAAAATTCCATCGTATTCCTTTTGAAAAGGAAAAGCAAACATGAAGTAATAGAATTCGAGAAATATTGGTTTGATCCACAATGCATTTATTATGAACATTTGTATAGACGTGTAATATTCGGGCGTTCACGGGTGGATAAATTAAATTCCAACTGAATTCCCTTCTTTCATCACAACCCTGTATTTATTAATTTTATATTCAGTGCGCGCCGCACCAGTTAAATCGAATATAAATTCGTATTAATTTTTATATCATATTACAGATTACCAATTGTAACAGGCTCCCATAGTAATCTGCTCCCTTCGAAATCGGAGTAATTAATGAAATCGTATAAAAAATCTTTACATCCACTAGCGATATAAATTTTTAATTTAATGGGAATGAAAATTAATTGCATTCCATTAAACATTATTACTTTATACGTTAAATTTTAAATCTGATTCTTTTTACGTTCTATTTAATTCGTTTCACTTTCTATCATAATTTTATATTCTATCCGTCGCAAAGATTTCTTCCATCACAAATTTTCTCATCAACGTATCGACATTATTTTATTACGTTTTACTCTCTAATTTTCTATTTTATCCCTTTTCTCACAAAATTCTCCACCAGAGAACTTTGCAACTTTCCACAATTCTTAATTTTTCCTATTCATCCTTCCATCTTTCCACAAAATTTCTCACTTTCTTCAACATATCAATTCACCAAGCAACAATACTCAATTACCTATATTATCAATCAAAATAAAAACTTTTGCAACATCATATCACGATGTTAAGACAAATATCATTCTCGATTGTCCAATCTCTTCATCTCTATGCTCTCTCCATTAAAATCGATAAAATGACAATAAGAATCGTTCGATGACGAATATCATCCCCCGGGCATCTTCGTAAAAGTATCAACATCCCGAGAAACCCTTTCCCTTCGTCGATAAATCACGCCAAGGCCTCTCGAATGCGTCCACCACGTTTCAACCATTTCGATTTCGCATTCGTGAGGAGACAATCATTGGCAAATGGCCGCGCGAAACCATCGTATCCGTGTAATCACCGCGCGTAAACGTGTTATTACTTTCGTGATCGAAGATTCTCGAAGAGCTGCACTCAAGTTACGTCGTAACACACGCACGAAAAAATTCATTGCGATTTTCGCTGTGGAACGGTGGACTCCACGTAACCGTGAAACGTTTTCGATTTATTTTTAACGCGTCTCCCGAGGATATCGAAATTTTTTTCTTTTATTTTTAAGGCAATTGGTATTGGAAATGTTTTATTTGCAGATTGAAATTTTTATCAATTGCATTGTAGAATTTCTGATCAAAAGATATTGGAGTAATTGTACGAGTTTTTTTTTTTTGTTTTGTTTTGTGAATTTAAAATTGGAGGAAATGCAAGTGAGCCTGGATTTTTTAAATCGAATTGTTTTTAGAAAGTTAGAGATTATGGATATATTCATATTTCCCAGTGATATATTATTTTGTTAAATTTATACGTCAAAATGATGTGACGTATTATAATAAGAATAAAAGAATGTAGTAATAATAATGAAAATTCATGCCACATTAAAATGCACATTGATGAGCTATAACACATTATAAGAGTTAATTCAAAATAATGAAACTTGATTGTTGAAATAGAAATTATTTTTGTTAAACGTACAGTAACAATTGTAGTTTTATTTGTGGAAACAACTTCGTTCGAAAATCATCTCTCATAAATTTCCATTTCATTTTGTATCCCTCCATTAAAAACATCTCTAATTATTCAGAATAATATATTAATTTAAATTTTATCACTCTTTCAAATTCAAATATTGTTTTAAATATTTACAATAATATTTATTACAAATATTCGTTCCTTTTTATGTTGCAGGACTCGTCCTTGGAACTAAACTCTGACACAAACTCGAGGGGAAGTTCTGGCCCAGTCATGGCGTTGACTAATGGATCCTTGTCTGCGAAGGAATAAGTCGAAGAGGAGAGAGAGGAAAAAAAAAAGAAGAAGAAGAAGAAGAAAATTAGCCATTGCAACAAGGTTTTCCCTATCCAAGGGATTCCCTGTACCAACGCGCCACCAATGAGACATATCGATCTCCTTTTAAGGATAACACACCCCTCTGTATATAGCTTAAATGCCTAACAAATAATTCAGGGTCGTCTCATGCCAGATCTGGGACCTATTTTGGCGAATTTAGTATCGATGGATCTCGAATCGTTCTGAGGATTCGATCAACGGGAAAGATTTAAAGCGTTTCGCTTCCATTTACGTCCATCTCATCGATTAATCCTCTTTCTTCCCCTCCCTCCTCCTTTCCTCATTCTTCTCATATGCTCTCACTTCTTTCATAGAATCTAGTCTCGAAGAGAAATCGCTTTTGGCGAGTTTCTTCCTACTCGTGTAAATGGAAACTTCGATTTCTTTATTTTCTCTCCTCTTTATCCTTTTCTTTTTCTCTCTTTCTCTCTCTCTCTCTCATTCTCCCAAATTCTTTTTTAATTTCATCATTCGCCAAAATATATTCGCGGTTTGAAATTTACAGCCAAAATCGAATAACTTCCGATAGAATTCGAGGAACACGTAGAAAACGAGAAATCTAGTCGATCGAACATTTTTGAAAATTTTTTCTAGTCATCGTGTTATTCCTTGTCTGTGATACGATTATTAATATCTTCGTTAACGATTTCGTGGGAATAATTGTGGTACGTTGTTTTGCGTTGTATTGTACAGGATTGGGCAATTTTTATTTAATGAAATGTTACGTGGAAAATAAATTATTTAAGAAATTTTTATATTATGTATAACATTAGAACTAAGCTAAACAAGTAAAATTCCTTGTATCTGCAATTATCAAATATATCAATAGATCACAAAAAAAATGAATATTTTTTTCAGATAGGAATATACAATTATATCTATCACTTATTACTTTTACAATATTTGCTTCTATAATTCTAATTATCTATGTATAATCTGATCAATATGTTATAATAGTTTCATCGTTTAATTTATCCACAAATTATCATTATTCAAACAATTGAAATGCCACGTAACAAAATTATTTCAATGCTCAATCCTGATAGAATGGAAACTTTTGGGAGATCCGTTAAAATTTGTCCATTCTTCTATTCCCTTCCCTCGCGAGATTTTTTAAGTAGTAGCCACGGAAGGATTCCTAAAGTAGGGTGCAACGTTAATGAATTCTTTTTCTAGCGTCGTTGAGAAATAGATGAAAACCAGGCCGTCCGTTTGTGGTAGCGTTTTATGAAAATTACAGGTAGTCTTCCGACAACCCGGACGTGGGATCGCACAGTAACGAATGTCCACACACATTCTCTCTCTCTCTCTCAGAATTAGTTAATTAATCGCGTTCCTTTTTAATTCCCCGAAGAAACCTTTCGTCTGGATTTTACTCTTTAAAGACTCTACTCTTCCATCACCAGTGGATCCAAGATTAACTCGATCCAAGTAATAAGTAATAAGGTTGACGTCGTGTATATATATGTGTGTGTGTATGTATGTATGTATGTGTGTGTGAATATGTAGGGATATTAAAAATTATTCATATCTTTGACGATGAGGAGAAAGACGATGATGGAACATCTTTATACGACAATTACGAGAGAGAAAAGAATATTCGTTGAAAATTCAATTCGATTTTGTTATTCGATATATGATAAAAAAAATGAAGGAAGAAGGAGGTTGATAAAAAAAGGAAAGAAGGAGGGAAGGATGAAGGGAAGGAGGTAAAGAAAGATTTTTTTCATAAATTCTATTTTTTTCATCGATTTATCTCGGTGTGGTTTTTTTTAAAATGAACCATTGGAGACAGAAATATGAAATTATACGTCTTCCCTTGGCGCACGGATGAAGTTCGTTTAATTTACAATTAATTTAAAAGCTTAAACGGAGTTTGCCTTTCACAAGGTTGAATAATGTTGAACAATTCTGGTGTGGAGGAAGGGATGGAACACGTTTATACGACAATTGAGAGAAAAGAGGTATTCATTGAAAATTCAATTCGATTCTACGATATACGATAAAGGAGGAGAGTAATAAAGAGGTAGAGGAAGGTGATAAAGGAGAGGAGGAAGAGAAGGATGACAAGAAGAGGAGAGGGGGAGGAGAAGAGAAGAGTGATAAAGAGGAAGAGGAACATAAAAAAGACTTTTTTCCGCGTCCCATTTTTTTTTTTCATCGGTTTATCTAGCCGAGGTTTTTTAAAATAAATATTGGAAACAGAAATATGAAATTATTCGCTTATTATTTCTCTTGGCACAGATGAAGTTCGTTTAGTTCACAATTAGTTTAAATGCTTAAACTGAATTTGCGTTTCACGAAGTTGAATAATGTTGAATAATTCTGGTAAAGAGGAAGAAATAAAATATGTTTATACGACAATTAAATTACGAGAGAGAAAAAAAGTTCGAAAAATTCAATTCGATTTTACGATATATGATAAAAGAGAAGAAGAGGAGCAGAGTGATAAAAAAAAAAGAGAAAGAAGAAAACGATAAAAAAAAAAAAAAAGTTGGATAAAGAAGAGAGGAGGAAGATGATAAAAAGGAAAATGGAATGGATGAAAGGAAAAAAGGAAGAAAAAAGGGAAGGAGAAAGAAAAAGATAAAGATTTTTTCATCTTTCTACTTTTTCATTTTAAAAAAAACATTGGAAATAAAATATAAAATTATATCCTCTTCCATCCATAGCATATGCATGAAGTTCAATTTATAATTGATTTAAAAGCTTAAACTAAAGTTTATCCTTCACAATTGAATAACGTTGAACAATTCTGATACTGTTTAAATTTATGAAGATAATTTTAAAGAGTAAGAGAAAGAAATGGTATCGATCTTGCTGTGCGATCTCCGGGGTGCAGTCTTTGTCTATTTAATTACGACCAAATGAAAATTTTGTTTTCTTTTTTTTTTTTAATTTTTTATTAAAATTGATATGGACAATGAAATATATATTCGTAATAAATTCGTAAAAAATTTATTTCATTAAAATTTTATATGATTAAGTTTTTTAAAGTCACTCTCGAGAATATTTGTGCAAGAATAACTTTTAAAGTAATATTGATTTACAAAAAAAAAAAAAAAAACTCTCTCGAAAATTTTATTCTCAAATGGATCAACATTTTTCTAATAATTTTAATTTTTTCAGTAAATAACAAATACATTTAATCGCTACATATTTTCAATGTAAAATTGCAATCAAAAAAAAAAACAATTTTTTTTACTCATATGGTCCTAATTCTATGGTCAGAGTCTGAGAAAAAGTATGATTGTAAATAAATCGATCCGTTTTCCGTAAATCTCTAAGCTCGGTAACAAAAAAAAAGTGGATTGGTTCTCGGTCGGGCATGTTAATCGTCAACGCTTAATTACCATTTAGGACGTTGTAAATATTCGTGTAACCTTAAGTTAGCGGTAAAGATGGTAGCCGTTACGTTTCCTAGGATTAATTAGGAAAAAGGAAAACCTTGAAACGCTTTAAATCGCCAATTGAAACGATCCTCATTCTCATCCCGGACTAAATTCTCGATCTCGTCGATACATAAATTTAGCCTGCTGATTTCATCATTCGATGCTGATTTCAGCTCATTCGAGCTGACCGCTATGATGCATATGATATTTAAGATTTTTTTTTTTTTTTTTTTGACTCCGTTCAATTTCTCGTCGACCTCCC